TGGGTTGTTAGTTAGATGGATCATGATTGGTTAATATTAAATACTTTACATTGGTAAAACATTTAATTTATCCAATCATAAAATATAGTTTAGATCAGGTTCCAAAAGGACTAATTCACTTTTTGCAAAAAATGGAACAAGTCAACAAGATCTGATTCTGGATTTAGCCATAATCTTATAATTAACCTCGAGCACTAATAATCTCATATTTCAATAAGTTTCAAAGCTCTTGATTAAAGTATGATTACCATCAAAATTGGAACAATGTTAATATTAAGTCGAATTTATATTGTTTTCGTATCAAAAAACGTCCAATGATTGACCTTGAGAACATTGTTTGATTACAATGCAGTTTGGAACTTTTCTCAAAAATTTTACATTACCATTTTCAAAACAAAGCATTTGTTTAATAAAACTGCCCTGCTTTGGTTTTTTGGCAAGCGACCAATGGGTTATGGAAACAGCAAATTTTCATAAAAACTAGAAAAAGTTAGCAGGCACGCAATGATCACTTGTCTCAAAGCAGCCAATCAAGCCGCTCATTTGCAATGCAGTTTTAAACTGTAAAAGAACGAAGTGACTTTCATAAGTTTGTTAACGCTCAAGTATAAATTTTCGCGGTTGACTTTTGATTTCTTTTTAAGTTCACATCATTTCCTTTGTTACAAGAAAGGCAAACTCCACTACCGAACAGCAAAAATGTTGAAAGTCACGAAAAAAGTGAATGATTTCTAATTTCAATAATCGACGTTCTTTTTCTGAATTCTCAGCGAAATGAAAAAAACTTCCTATTATTCAAGTTTTCTATAATTTAGATAATATCACAGAAAAGGTGCCGAAATCCTTCGAAATCCTTCAACTTGATAAAATTTTCGAATTTCGAAAGAAGAAAGTTTCAAAAGTTTCCAATCAACTTTTTATTCCTTGTTCTTTTACACAGACTGTTGGCCTTATTTTTTTTATAGAAAACTGAAATCAAGAGTTTCTAATTTTGAAGGTTTTTTACGAGAAAACTGCAAAAGTCAAACATGCTGAAAAAAACATCGACAGGTCAGTTACACTCTTATTTTTAAAATAAAAAAATCAGCAATTTTGGAAAGAATTTAAGTGCTTTTAAATCCGAGGGGCTTATGAGCAGTAATCGTGCCGGAGGAAGGAAAAGACTCATTTATTTTTGCCACGATCGAACCTTTTCTCTTAAAAATCCAAAAAGAAGACATAATTCTCTAGCTGCCATGAAAAATGAGTAACTCAAACTTTTACTGGTATAAAATGCACCAAATTTCTATCATTTTAACTGTATGCAACTTAATTAGGCACCGTTTTTTCTAATTAGCTGTAGAGCTGTAGTATTGGAAATGCTACACTAAAATAAAAGGCTTTTGTTTCAATTGCTTTCATAGGATCCGAGTGGACTATTTTCTAATTTAAAGTCATTCACAATTTAAGACAAGAATGCCTTTTTTACTTAACATTTGATTCAGATTTCAACAGAACAACTTAATCTAAAACGTTGAAAGTCAAAAAAATATATATCTAATTTTCCGATTTCTGAACGGATTTTTTTTTCTTTCAGTTTTATTAACCTTGGAAAACCATTCAGCGGGATCATAGCGTTTCCGGGAAAGGACAGAAGAGCGAAAAATGAACTGCATAAACAATTAGAGGCAGCAGAAAAAAAGATAAAAATCTTAAGAGACTTAATGTGGCCTTAGAGAGGAAACTTGAAACCTTGTCTGACTAACATCTTGAACGTTTTACTTTTGTTTTGAAGCTCTCTTTAATCTTAAACATGTTATTTTATAATTAGATTCATGCTTTAAGCAATGCCTATTTGGGGGATTGTATTCACACCTTTCATCTAATCAAGGGGGTGAGTTGGTGTATTGGAAATGCTAGACTAAAATAAAACGCTATTGTTTTAATGGTTTATATAAGATCCAAGTGGACTCTTTTCGATTTTAAATTCGTTCACACCTAAAATTAAGAATGCATTTCTTAAATTTATTATTTGATTCAGATTTTAACTGAACAACTTAACTTAAAACGTTAAAAATCAAATCCAAATAACTAATTCCTAGAATTCTGAACGGACTTTTTTTATTCTTTCAGTTTTATTAGCCTCGGAAAAGGTAACGATTTTTATTGAAGTTCAACGGATAAGCGAGGGAACTGAGTAATTATGCACGTCGCCAGTCAGGCAGAATGTGTCTCTTGCTTTGGCTTTGAAAATAGACAAATGCCCCACTGCTCTGAAACTTAAATTAATTAAGGCAGAAAAAAATATTATGAGTTTCCTCCAGTTAAACTACATGCTGATTTTTTTTATATAAAAAATCAATAAAAACGCAAATGCCTATTTAATCAATCGGAGGATAAAAATAAAAGCAGGTTGAAGTCTAATAGCAGGTGCAGTGGCCTGAATATCATTAAAATTGGACTGAAGTGTAAAATCAGACTTAAAATGTTTCGGATGAGCCTACGTGCATTTTTCAGTGACTCTGCATGATTTCTTACGCTTAAACAGAGGGCTGAAACATTCTTATCCGTCTCCTATTTGTTTTTCTATAAGATAAAATTTTAAGTTTTATCCCTTTTTCCCTATTTTCCCTTTTAGGAGTGTCACTCAACACTTAATTAGTTTAACTTGTAATAACTTATAAGAAAAAAAAATTGGACATATTATAACTTTAGGTTGAAACTTAAAAAAAAACATTAAAATAAGCTGAATAAGGAAAAAAAGTAAGTAAAATTCCCCAATTTCACTCAAAATTTCAATTCAGCCAGATGAATTTCAATTTTAACAAAATTTTGTCCAATTACGGTCAAAATCACTCCGGGTAAAACAGAAGAGCTTCTATTTCAACAATATTAACCCAATGTCAGTCAAAATTAGTCCAATGAAACAAGTTTAACTTCCATTGGAAAATTTTCATAATTCTAATTAGGCCAAAAAAAACTTAAAAATTCTTTTTGGTAATTTTGCATTTTAGTAGTGTCAGTCAAAATTTGATAAGTTTAACTAGGACAATATATTAAATTAAATAAACTAATCTAAAACGGACTCGAAGAGCAACCACCCTGGTGTCGGACAAATTCTCAACAGACAGCGGCAATTGGACATTGTACCCTTTTTGTCCACGAGCAGCGGTCATTAAATTCTCTTCATCTTCTCTCCACTACCTCCCAGCTAAATTTTGTAAGACAGGAAAATAATAAGTTAATAAACTACAAATACCCTCCAATTGATAAAAGTCAACAATAGATCAACAGTTGTGCATAACGTTTATTCTTTTCTATTATTATTTTAACTCTAGGACCAGATCGACTATAATTTATGATATGAATTAACCGAGAAAAAAGTTGTGGTTGCTAATTAGCAGATAACTACCCCTTAAAATGTATGTAATCGAAAAAAAATGGTTTTTGATTTTTCAAATTATTAGGAAAGTGAGTTTCTGTTAAGTTGTTTCCAACTTCAAAACGCTAGAGACAGATGTTATCTAACTTTAGGGCCCGCAATCTCATTGATCGCCTTTTTGCTAGATCGTCCTCGATAGAGTCGAGGTTAATAATATCTTCACTATCGCTCATCATTCCATAACAGGTTTCTGCTAAATTTATGTCATGAAAAATTTGACTCATTATTATTATAACTAGTAAATACCAAAAAAGGAAACGTTCTCCGATCAAATCGGTTAGTATAAGCAAATAATTTAGACAATTTAAACATAGATTAAACATCTTGTTAACAGTTTTATACTTTCATCAGATGTTCCGAAAATGCTCAAAAACTTAATAAACTTAATCTTAATGCAATCTACGTGTATTCTAAATGGTTTATAAATTAATTCATCAATCATATAGACAAACAAACCTGAGATAAATTGATATTAGTCATTCCAGCTTACGATAACACTTACGATTGACGTTTATGGCATTGAACCTACAAAAAGGCACTTACATCATTTCGGAAACTGCTGTAGCCAAATTGGTGCGAGAGCATTGTTTAGTGTGAAACAGCTGTCATCGCGATGAATCCAAAGAGACAGGTCGAATGTTGATGGTAGGTTTGATTTTTCATGTAACAATTTCAAACAACTACCGGTTTTTCGAAAACAAGTCTTGTTAATGGAGAAGAGAAATATCGATACAAAAATGAGAGGATATAGTATGATGCTAACTGTTTTGATCCTGCTAGTGATCAGAGCGTGAATAACAAAGCTTGGTTCACCTCAAACATATTTTGAAAGAAAATCGATTTATTAAAAGCACAATTAGTTGTACACGAGGAATCATATATTTGGGTCAAAAAGGCCACCGTAGATAGAGAGGCAACAGCATGACCAGGGAAACAATCAAAAGAATAGACTTATGTGACAAAACTCAAAGTTTAATTTGTTGAGCAAAGGGTTAGTCTATGATAATAACTGATAGCGCTCCAAACTTTTAAATAGAACGCTCTCGCTGAAACCAATTTGACATTAACTACAAGATATTGAGAAAAAATGACCAAGTTTTAGCATCAAAGTACCAGGTGCTTTCTTATATACAACATATTTTGATTGCATTAGGTTCAATGGGCTGCATATGATAAGTATATAACCTCATTTACATGTAAGCAAGCCAATACCCCCAAATTTTAGAAGGGAAAACATGCAGCAACCAAAATTTTGTTTTATACTTTTTTCCATAGAGTGCCCGACAAATGACCAATTTCAACACCCCTCAAAACATGGGTGCCCGAAAAAGTAGGAGATTTAACCCCTTTGGGGTTCAAAAATGGTCATTGCAAAGGCACACGAAAAAAAGGGGGTTAAAAGTGGTCATTTTACTAGCCACTTTTACACTACTACTAAAAACTTTCATTTTGAATCCGAGTTTTCGAGATAACTTCAAATTTCGAACTTCAAAGTTCAAAATATAAACTTAACAAAAATGTCAGCATTAGTTACCAAGCAATTAGTTAATACTTATATTTATCTTCTTAATGCTGTTTAATGATCAACTCTTTCCGATATTTATCAAGAATGCTAGAAACTATTCCGTAATCTCAACTATTTGAGGCAGGTCATTTTAATTTCTACCAGTGGATATGAAGCTTGTAAATTTTAGCGTTCTTCTAGGTGAATGTATATTAAATTATTTTGCAAAAATTTAAAAAAAAAACATTCGAACCAGTTTTAACGAGTTAGATTTTGTGTTACTTTAGCTGCGTTGAAATGGGGCGTTACAGAGTCCAAATGGCTCACGCATATTCCAGACAGGGAGTCCAGTCAAGACCCAGATCCAAGACAACCGGCAGTCGATTTCATGTCTTCCCAACAACTCCCCCCGAGCGGCCATTCTTCTGCTCCTGTGCACTCAATCGATCCTCCTCGTCCCTGTTACACTCTCCCCTCTGGCGGTCTGGCTTTCCTCGGTAGAGGGGTGGATATCACACGACTGGATCTGTTCAGCTCATTTGCACAGTCTTCTTCTTCTTCTTCTGATGTTGGCATGAATTCTGCCGCCATCAAGGGCCCAGTGGTTAACCTGACTTGCACATTTGGATATGAGTGGACCAACTCTTTCAACTCCAAAACTTACAAGGTGTGCTCAATGTAGACTAGATTAAAAGTGTAAATTGTAAGAAAAGAACCAAAGTTCATGTTAGGCAACCATACTGGAAAAGAGTAACAAAAAATCAAAAAGAGTACAAAAAATTTGGTATCTCTGATAAATTGCACAAAATTGCAAAAATGTTCAATGGCCCATTTTGAAAATGAGACCATGAAACGTTTTATCAAGAAGATGTAGTTGGCTTTTAGTTTGTGGTGATTGTGTTTTGACAGGTGGCTGACCAGGTGTGGAATGTGGACAACAAGAGGGTGCAGATGACAAAAGAAGAGGTGCACTCGTTCACTTCACACTCTGAACTGCAACAGTTCTTGGCTGCCACTGTTGGAGTGACACACGAGAACGGGATGTTTGCTCGCACTCACACTTACAGCTCAATCAGTGACCAGTTGCAGACAGCCACCAACTTAATTGCGATGGTCCACTCTCCCGTTTTGTCCTCAGAAGCAACCCTGCTGCCTAAACAGGAGCTGCAGTTGAGTGCCATTGTGCAAAAGTATCTTGACAACATCGACAAAGACTTCGACTCGGATACTGAAGGATACAAGCGCTTCATTGCCACCTTCGGAACCCATTTCTTCTCATCAGTCAGATTCGGACCCCTTGTACAGAACATGTTCACAATTGACAGGAGTCTCCAGAACATGTACGACAGATCCCAAATTGAGACCTTCAGTGTGGAAAGCTTCAGTAGATGGTTCGACGAGACTCTTCTTAAAAGACACCCAGAAGTGACTGCAGCAGGTGATCAGTTTGATACCCTGTCTACTCGTACTTATGAAGTGTTCGGGGGTCGAACAGAGCTGCTAGCCAGAGGAGAGACGAATGAGTGGTTCACAACTGCCCTGGATAGTCCGTGGGTATATGGAGGTCAGCTGGTTCCCATTTACGATCTAATATCTGACGAGAGGCAAAAGGAATCAGTGCGGAAAGCAGTTGAAGCTCATTTGGACAGAGCATCAGTAGAGGATATCGAGAGTCGACTGAAAGTGGCTATTGGGAAGTATCAGAATTCAGGGAGGGCCAGTGACTTAAAGAGTATCGAGAAGGAAGTGATACTGCTGAGACAGAAAAAGTCAATTGAGCACACTTTGGCCAATCACTGGGTTAATGCCCTCAAATACAGCCTGGCTGCTCCTAAATGGTGGCAAGAAGCTGAGATTTGTTTCAAGTATGCAAACGACGTGCCTGGAAAGTACTGCAGCGGAGCTAAGCCTACTTGTGCGCCTTTGAATCAGTTCACGGAAATGTATCAGGACTGGAGCAGAAAACAGGGGGGTTGTCAGATGATGTGGGGACTGTTTGTCCCAGCAGAAACGGAGGCGTGGTTCGAAGAGACAGTCAAGCTCTGCTTCAATTTCAGCTCTGTCGGCCAGACATTCCAGTGCGGGTTGGCAGACCATAAAAATGGAGAAGTTTGTACTGTGGTTAACCAGTACTCTGCGCCACTCTATGATCACACTGATTCCAGGACCAAAGGGGGATGCAACATAGCCTGGAAGCTGGGACTGGACAGACCTGACTTGGCTCCCACTTGGCTGCTCAACAGTCGCTTCTGCTACAGCTACAAAAAGAGGAGCAAAAGACTGTACATGACAGAGAGCACAGACACCATCTGCTCTCTAGTAGGCGACTACACCGCTCCTTTCTTCGACAACTCCCACTTCAGAGCCTCCATCAACTACGCAGAGAACTACATACAGTGGGGAGTGTTCGACAATCAGCACTCGCCTGTGTGAAAAACATCGCTGAACTGGTGGTGCCAACCTATCTTACCTAATCTTATTATTCCACTCTTCTCTAAGGAAGCCATATCTGATTTAGCAAGTGCTCAATTAAAAACCTTCTATCTTTCAGTTTTGCTAGTTTCACATATGCTACTCGTTCAGTATGAAACGGTTAAGTTTAAGACAAAACTTAAGACAAAACTGGCAAAATAACATTGAATGGAAACCAAATACAAAAGCAAAATAAGGATAGCCGGTTACTGCGCAAGTAGACAGAATTTTCCGACCATAGTCTTAAAAAAAAATATTGTATGAAATGACTGCAAAATATTATATATCACTAGATCCCTTCCGATAATTAATTAAGGCACCTGATTGTGCGGGGAAAACAAAAATAAAAAATTGAAACACTCCCAAATACAGAGTTTTTCCCCATTTTCAGACGGTCGGAACAAAAATTTGCTTTAGTGCTTAGCAGTTTCATTGACAGCATAACAAATAACCATGTAATTTCACTTGAAAAGCTTAGGGCATTACGGCTTTCCATAATCGACGCAATTTTGATTCGATGACTAAATTTTGAAAAATGAGGCAAAAATCTTAGCAACAAAAACCTCTTTGACATTAAGTGACTATTAGATTTACGGAAAAAAATCCAAAAAAAAATAAAAAGTTGCACAAGAAAAAGAAATAACTATCACCACTGATCAGCTTAGAACATAAAAAACAATATATGATTTTCAAGTTCCCTTTCGGCACATGTCTAAATTTACCACCCTGAGCACAATTATTCCGTTATTTTCATTACGAAAGTCGGAACAATAAGAACGGAATATTAATGGTCAGTAACTTCTAGAGCAAAACATCCTAAAACATAGTTGAGAATAACTGGCGGAGCAAGCGGATTAATTATTGATGCATTGATCGAGGCAATCTTGATTTTAAAAGAAGCTGTTGAAACTAAGCACAAGCAAAACTCAAAAATAGGTCTATCGAAAAAATTCAAACCAAAAAACAAATGCTAACAGGAGATCAGCATTGGAACAAACCTTCTGAAATGGTCAACAAACCGACGAAACTTGGTTAGTCGCAATTGATCTCCAACAAAAAAAAATAAATTTGAAAAGAAGGAATATCCGAAGCGCCGGATACATGCTCAAATTTTGTATTTGAAATCACCTTCAAAGGATTGACTAATTTTCAATCAATTGTAGAAAAAGTGTTCCTCATTTTAAATTAAAACTTAACTAATTTTTCAAACCATTTAATGTTTGTTATTTTTTTTGAACTGTCGGCATACAACGCAATGTCTGAAGGGTTTGCCAGCCCCTAGTCACAGCCTAGCATCCCACCAAAGGAGCGATTGTTCCGGGATCAAATTGCTAGAGGCAGTATTTTCAAATGCGAGTCAAGTCAATGCGTTTTTTTACGTCTTCGGAAGGCTGCAAGGAGACGTTTTTTTCTCAAAAAAAAATTGACGAACATTATTTTAGTTTTAAAATATATATGAAGAACAAGAAATTTCCGTCAGCCAACCGAAAGTTAGTACGTTCAAGATAATACTCGTGACCTGATACCACTAATATTTGTCTGTCTTTGCATGGTAAGTAAAACGGAAGGAGGCTTCAAACATTTTAGCTAATAGAATGGTAAAACAATCGTTCAAGTGTAAGGCAGTAAGATTTTACGTACATTTTTTAAATAAAATTCCTGTGTTGCTTTCAATTAGCACCATGTCGGTTATCTCTGTTTTAAACGCGTGAATGAGGGATTATTTCTCTAACTTATCGAAATGCAATTACTTTTAAGATGCTAGAGGCATCAAGTGAATTAAGACTGGCTTTTCAAGCCTCAATTCGTACACTTAATTGGAATATTCCTGTACTTATAAAAAGGACTTAATTTGAAACAATTTATAGGCTTTAAAGGGGGTAAAATTGGTGTGGGGTTATCTTGGTACGGGGTTATAAAGTAAAGGGTGTAAAAATTGGGTGTTAAGTAACGTGTGGTTAAAAAGTGGGACCCTCATCTTTAATCCACTGCTGTTTGGATAATACTTACTTCTCCAGTCTCTAACAACTAACAGTAACAGTAACAAGACTAATCGTTTTGTTCCGATTGCCTTTTTACGTGTCTTCATTGATTTTTGGTTGCGGAACTATGTCGTTGTTTTTTCGTTTTGTGATATGAGAACTTCAACTAAAGGCTAGAATTAGGGCTTTTTAGTAATTGTAATTTAGGCACACTCGACAACAGTTTTTCTAATCATAACCAAAAAAGTTTATTTCGAAAACCACCAAAAATTGTAAATCCTTAATAGCGCTTAGAAACTTCTTAAACCAATTTTAGTGACTTAAAATTTTTCCCCCTGAATATAAGCCTCAACGCTCGCTCTATTCGCTCAAAGTTAAAACGAAAATCAACTAATTTAAACTGGTTTTTCTCCATACCGAAAAAACTTTCGTTTTGCAACTTAAAGGGCTTGAATCTAATGTATCACTCGACCCATTCTGATGGTTATTTGTGCTACCTGATAAGGCGCGAGAATTTTTTAAAACAAACAAATTGCAAAAACTGAATCACAACCAATGACAAAAATTTCCCAATTTTCAGTGCTTGTCTCAACAACAAGGAGGGATAGCCAATTGCTGTGCAATTACAAGTAATACAGAATGTTCTAACAATATTAAACGAAGTATAAAAATTACTTCAGGAAATGTGCACATTTTGAATTTTTTCTACAAAGCGGTAGGGGATTGGATAAGCTAATAAGCTAAAAGAGTTTCAAGGGAAATCAATTTTTAAATTTTAACTTTTTTTACTATTACCAGTACATAAATATAAATTTTTATCGATTATAAGCACTTTAAAAGCGTATTAAAAATAGGTTTTTCTCGATATGAAAATTTTATGGGATTTTATTTACAACCCTTGCGATACATCTATAACATTGCATTGCGAACAATGAAAAGATTAAAAGAAGAAAATCGTTTTTGAAAAAAATGGCTGAACAAAACTCCAAACAACTCTTTCGTCAAAACTGTCATACCTTTCTCATAGACGATGATCTTAAACAGCCTTACCAAGCATCAGAATCAATGACTGAGAGGCAACAAAGGCAAAAAACTTGGGCCAGCCCTCGTTAAGTTGAAAACGAAATTGTAGACATAAAACATATTCTAGCTATTAAAATACTTTTAATAGGCATCCCTTCAAACAGACAAAAACCAAAAATTATAATTCACCCTTCAAACTGCACTACATTTTTGACTAATCCAAAATAACATACGCCGATTTTGTTCAACCGAAAAAAAGGCAAAACATATAAATTTAGTCAAAATCAAAGTTGGTAAATTATCGAATCTCAATTATAGTGAACACAGCTTGAATCAAAAATGTAGGAATCCTAGTTTTCAAAAACAAAACACTGAGTTAACCTAAAAGATTTAAGAAATTGCATTTAAGAAACTTAAAATCAGCCGAGAGAAATTAGAACGAGAACCACAAACCAAAAAAAAACTTAATTTTCATTATTTTATTTTTAAAAAAATAACTAGTACCCCACATGAACCAAAAAATAGTTCTAAATAATTTTTCAAGTTGGGCAGGTCAGCTTTCAAGCATGTCAGAATGTGTAAAAAAAGTTATTTACGGGAAAAAAGTCTAGTTCGCGATTACATAAACTTCAGATAGACCCTAGCGATATATCATTTTATAGCCAATTTAACTGTGATTCGATCGATAATTTCACTGGTGAAAGCAAGTGTTTTGTAATCGCGAGCTAGACTTTTTTCCCGTAAATAACTTTTCTTACACATTCTGACATGCTTGAGGCTGACATGCCTGATACCTGATTTTGCGAGGAAAAGTAAGAAAAAAACTGAAACAAACCTAAATACAAAAGTCTACTCACTTTCAATGGTCAAATTCAACATAGCATAGCAGGCAGACAAGTTTAAAAGAATCAACGAACGGAAGGAAATAGAACAAAAGGCCTTCTTTTCAAAGTAAAAATGGTTGGCTTTTTGACAAATCGAACCCAATTATAAAGAGCTGCATCATTGGGTGAATTTGTTTTTCCCCTGGTGAATCTTAAAACTGACATTCAAGTTCGAAACTAGGATTCTATCAAGTTTTTTGAGCCATTTCCGTTTTCGTAAATGAATAGCGCAGTGCTTATCTCCTCCAGCAAATGAATTTGATTTAAACTCGCAAAGGAATTATGTTGGCAATAACAAATAAAAAACGAAACAAAAAAATCACGTATTATTGTCTTCACTAGGGCCCTTGACACTGAATCATCTCACAGCTTGTTGATTTTTAATCTTTTTTTACACAGACGCGAAGTGCTGCTTCGTTTGCTCGAGCAAATATATCACAGATTAAGCTAGCGCAAACTCAGCCTTCATGTGGTCTCTTATTGACTTTGAAGTTTGACCAAAACCCCACTCTACGCCAGTGGCCTATCTAAATCTCGAGATACTTTTCTGATAAAAAAATAACAAATATTTTGAAAAGATACGAAGGTGAAGGTTAATCAGTGACAATGAGATATGATAAACCATGTTTGCTTTTTACCTGCAGTTCTATCAGGTCTTGTTACAAACTATCTATGAAATCTTGACCTGGCAGAACTCCGGGTTAAGAAAGACGACTTAAGGATGCTGAAGTCAAAACTGTATTTTTGGATCTCATAAGACTTGCCGTGAAGCTACAAAAGCTGACGGAAGGAGTCTGTTTACCGTAAAGATAATTTTGAAGGGCCATAATTTTGAAGGGCCGTTGAAAAAAAGCGTACTTTGCGCATGAAAGACGAAAAAGAACAAAAAAAAGTTCGAGCCAAATTACATTAAGAAATTATATTGTTTGACAAAAAAAAACTTTTCGAAAAACGACCAAAATTTCAAGTAAATGAAATTTTCTTGAGTCTATAGCAGAGTAAACCCTATGCATAGAAGATTTAGTTACCCAATTTTTTCAATTAAACCCTTTATTCCAATTTAAGAGGGTATATTTTGGGAAAAACCAAAATCAAGTTTTTCAAGGGTCAAAATTTGAAAATAAGTTTTGACCTAAGCTCTAACATTTTTTAACAAAAATTAGGGTGTAGCCACTTATGCAGGGAAAATTCTCACAACCAGTTGTTTTGATTCAGCCCTCAATCCCAGATTTGGTAGGGTAGGTTTCAAAAAAGGAATAAAAATTTACACAGAGGCGAAGTTGCGCTTCGCAAACACTTGCGAAAACACGACCAAAAAGAAGCTCTCTCAAGTGAAATAAGCAAAAATATAAAAAGCCTCGAAGTAGCAAAAACTCGGCTAGGGATTCGAACATGAGTCTAACATGACAGATTTCGAGTCTCACGCACTATCCCCTCAGCCACGCAAGCTTCACAACCGACAAACACTAGTCACAAATAAATCAGCTACATATACTCATAAATTGCCAATTGAGTTCAGCAGAAAAGGCACCAAATACGAATAGACTCAATTTTGCAAGTAATGATTTGGAATATAACAAACTGAAGGCATCCACACTAACTCTGCATGTAACAAGACGCAAAGCATAAATCCACATTATGTATGAGTTATGCATTGCAAAACATTGCGAAATATACGTCCACTTTATTGATGACTTATGCATTTCAAAACATTGTTAAAAAACTTCTGAAATCGAGTTCTTATTGTGATGTTTGAAATAAATTATTTTCGTTTCATTTCGCCTTTTTCGTTTCAATTGATAAATTAAAAGTGTATCAACTGTGTTAATTTATTACTATTCGAATGTCAAAGCACAAGTTATCAAAAAGCTGTAAAGTTGCCCCAAAAGTTACACCAATCTTTGCAATTTAGTTTGGAAAAAAAAGAAGGTTCTTACTAATACACTAGCTTTATAAGTGTCAGCAAAACGGTCTACATGTCAAATAATGGCATTTTTTAGGGGAATTTTTTCTTGTTTCTCTCAACACAAGTGCATAAGGTTGATAGCCACATATGCAAGAAAAACCCATTATCTAATTTTTCGGTTGTACTTTTAATCTAAGATTTGGAAAGGTTGTCTACCTACAAAAGTGTCTTTTTTCTAGGGCAGTTAAATTTTTCTGCAAAAATTTCAGCGTAGCCGCTCAAGTAGTAAACTTTTTTCAAGCAGTTTCTTGATTTAATACTTAGTCCTAGATTTCGGAAGGTAGTTTTAGGAAAATCGAAAGCATCAAACAAAATCAGTTTAAAGTTTAAAAAAGGCCAACAATTTTTGTACAAAAACGCACATCCATATTTACATGATTTATTTTCTACAACTTGTTCCTTCAATTGAACCCTTTTTACCAGTTTTGGGAGGAAAATTTTCGAAAAGTGCAAAGGTCCGCACAACTGATCAAAATTCCGAGCAAATATTTAGCCTTAGTATAAAGTTTTACGTTCTTTCTCAAAAGTTTCAACTAGGGCGCAAACGCTTATGCAAGGAAGATATGCAAAACCTGTTTTTTTTTCGATGGAAATCAAACTTATTTTTCAACAAAAACTAGGGCGAAGACGCTTATGCAGGGATGATATCCAATACCAGTTTTTTTCTGCACTTTCAATCGCATATTAGGTCTAGTTTTGGAGAAGTCAAAAAATTTCACATTATTCAAAATCTTTAAAATGCCGTACTCCGAATACTCTACTTTTTTCTATAAGCAATTAGGACTTAAGTCGCACTTACAGAGGAGATCATCTAATACTTTTTCGATAGAACCATTAAGCTCAAATCTCGAAGGGTACTTTTTGAGGAAATGAAAAAATAACAAAAAAGGTCCTATGCATTTTCATTATACCTGTTTCGCATTTTGTAGCGCTCAGATAATACCTAATTTGTCATGCATGAATTTCGAACGAAACATACCGTACTTTCATGATCCCAAATAGACAATTTTCCTACTCCCATATGTTTATGAAAAAATAAGTGCTGATAGAATAACTTTTTATTTTGAACTGAGGGCATCGGAGTCTTTCACACTCTATTACTAACAAGTCGATATTTTGTGCTAAAACAACATGCTTTAGTTAGCTTCAAATCAATTTTGCGCTGCGGTAGTCGAAAATGATACGCGAATTTCAAATATTTCAATTTATAAAAATAAAACATTACTCAAAACAAAAAGTAACTAAGTCGAAGGGAATTCAGCTGAAGCTAATAAAATAGGAAACTAATGAGGGGCAAAGTGGGAGTTTGACTAGTTTTGAACCACTAACTCTACTGCTGTTAGCTTGCACATTTTGGTCTATTCTGAGGAAACTGAGACTGTTGGCATGTTTGCGAAGAAGCGTCTGCATCTGTCTGCACTGGAGTGGGTGACATTAAAGAGAGGGTTGATGGGTTCCAACTGGAGGGGACCCATGTCTCTATGCAGTTCAGAGGGGGAGGGGTAATTGTGGGCGAGTGAGAGACCACTGAGTGCATAACAAGTGTGGTAGAAGTCTCTGTTCGCTCCTGGCTTGTCCCGGAAGCCCCCATTGTAGTTCTGACAACAGAGTAGCACGTATTCTGTGAGTGCTTCTGCGTTGAACAATGGCGCTCCCAATTCCTCCAGCGACTCTCTAGTCGCGCTTGCCTGTCTGTCCCACTCTCCTCCCCCTTCTCCTTTTGCTCCCTCTTTGGGGCTAGTCTGGAGTATACACTGGGCGATGTAGAGTGGGGCTAATTGCCAGAAGGAGTAACACGAGTCCACTAGTTTGTTCGGCCTCCCACTGAAGCCTCCCTACAAAACATACAAAAACAGACTTAAAACAAACATCAAAGGGATTCCAGATTTTAAAAACGACCCTACCGATGAGAATAAGAAAACAGAGGATGGATTTGTTCGTTAACCGAATGCTTGTATCATATAATAACCTACAAAACTCATTACCACAAAATATTACGAATCACGTACTTTTTTTTTGCTTTTGAAGGAAACTCAATTTTGTGTGGGTTATTTATCGCTTGAAATGAGAAGAAAGAGAACAGAATGATCTTAGTAGTGACCTCGAATGCCATCTGTCTGGATGAGAGCCACTTGACGAGTGACTCCATCTCACACAGATAAACTCTGTCCAGTAGGTTTAGACTGGCCCATCCACAGAACGTGTATCCCCCGTGGGCCTCACTGAAGGGCACTGCACTGAAGCCCCCCTCGTACGTCTGGCACGAGGACACCCACGAGGCACTGTTGGCGAAGAGGGGGGAGGAGGAGGGTGTGTGCATGAGGTTGAGCAGGGTGGCCACTGAGGCACAGCAGTACACCCCCCTCACATCAACCTCCCCATCCTCATGCATCACATAACTGCCATCAGGCTCTGCAAACAGCAACAGCATACAGTCAACACAGAGGCAAAGCTGCATTCAGCAAACAAGCAAAAAACGCCAAGAAGTAGCTTAAAAATGTCAAAAAAGAGAACAAGCTACGAAATAACAGTAGCAATGGGTTTTGAAAAACAAATGACCTGTACGGAAATCGAACTTCACCCATCGGGAATCCCAGTTTTCAAGTGGACTGCTCTACACAAGTGTGTCAGTCACGCTTACAGAACCCTAGTCAGTAAAAAATTGAAGAATACTTAAAATTAAACTTTTTTGCGAGTTAGGTTGGAGAAATATGGCAATATACTCGCTAGCTCTTTTGGGTAAACATAGCCAACATACAATTAGAAAAGTGTCAATGAACGCACGGAAACCGAAAAAATGACTTAATTATTTTTTTTGAACTTCATAAAATATATATGAACTTAACGCTTTTTGAATTTCGGGAACAAATTATATTTAACACTTTTTTGATTTACAGAAAACTGAATCAATATGTAATTTTCTTATTTCGCTGTGAAAAAAAAATGAAATCCACTTTTGAAACTTGAAACCAATCACAATCTTTCGCGCAAGTTCCCCTTTCGTAATTGAAGAGGACATTTTACCTCCCTTATAGCAAATAATATTGAAATGAACTTTAAAAAATCAAAAGATCAAATTTTGCGCGAACAAGTTCCAAAAAAAATAAACTCAACCTATATAACTTTCTTCACCAATTTTATTGGCACTTGATCAAAATTAATCACAAGAACAACCAGGTGCTTGGCAAAAACCCAGCATTTCGAGTTTAAAGTTAATTATGCACTGCTCAAAATCAATCACAATTCAAAAAAACCGTTTTTTCTTGATTTTTGTGGTGGCTTGGTTGAAATTAAGTCAGAGGAGCTACTTATCAATAACTTATATGACTTATTGCAATACTATTTAACTCATTGCTATTCGTGAATTGAAATAAAGCATTTAAACATTCAGCTATCTTGGTAAGAACAAAAAAATCAAACGCTGTTTCTCGGCACTGATAAAATTTCAAACCATGTGATGTTTCAAACACAATGTGAAAATACAAATCGCACACAATACATAAGGGGTCTCACACTAGGCCAAAAACCTCCCATGAAAAAATATATTTTTTGCAACTTTCGCTGATAAATAGTGGAGTTTGCCCTCCTTTTACCTAAGGAAATGAACTGAACTTAAATCAAAAATCAAACCGCAAAAAAGTAAATTGAGCCTGAACGAATTGTGAGACTTTTCCTTAAAAAGTTATCGCGACCTATGTTAGAGTTTGCTCTACGTTTATCGACTTCTAATAAGGGGATTTATGAATTTTTGGATCTTCATTGAAGTTATTATAATTTGCCTTCCATACAAATAAATTTCAGGTATCACCAGTTGGTCGAGAAAATTCAGAAACTTCAACAGTTCCCATGACTTTATGCAAAAGAGCGCTTCCATCACAAAAAAAAACAACAAGCCACGTGGCAGAGACAGTAAATAAAATGAATTGAAATTGATTTCGGTGAGAGTTCGAATCACAAATATGACATTTTGAACATTCGGTTTTTCTCATAACCCCAGAAGACTAAACATCCGCGTTTCTACTGAGGTGGAAGTGTAAAATGAAGTTATAGAAAATCGACCTTTTATATGTCAAAGATTGAGAACTCTAGGACAACGGTGTGCTAATTTTGGGGAGTGCTACAATTTTGAACATATTTTTCTGGTCATTTTCGGTTTCAGTTGTGAAACAAAGTTCACGGAGTGAAGGAAGATAATTTTGAGCGTACAAAAGCATATGTTTAGAGCTCAATTACAAGATTAACTGTTTAAAAACTATCGCTGTTAATTTACCTTTTTAAATTTAGTTCTAACTAAATATGGTCCAGTTCTATTTAAAAAACCTTTTATGGCCCAGTTCTAATTTAGTTTTTCGAGTTGCGTTTTGTCTAGAACTATTCTGGTGGATACTAAAAACAGCTGCTATATATTTCCGAAACCAATATTCAGCCAATTTACCATGTCGTAAAAATATACTTAAGTGTAAACAAAGCTGAACTTAATAGGCTTGAGAAGCAACAGAAACTGAACAATTTTTTCCAAGTTTCGACCACTTCAAAGGTTGCCAAAAATTGTGTCAAAGTTTTCGACATTTTTTGGAAAAAATTACAAAAAACGTCATATCTCGAAAACTATAAGGATTTGAGCCGTCACATTTGGAGACAAGATTCGCAATCCTTGAGAGTACTCTGACATAACCCAACTAAAGGGTGAGGCATTTCAAACTTTGAAAACAAAAATTACATCAAGTTTTTTTGAAAATTTAAGTTTTAATTTAGAAAAAGATATTAGAAAAAATTTGAAAAAAATCGAAAAGAAGGATTAAAAAGAAATCGAAAAATATTGAAGAAATTTAAGCAAAAGAATCAAAAAAATATAAAAAAAAAGATCGAAAAGAAGGATAGAAAAAGAAGGATCCAAAAAAAGACAGAATTTTTTAAAATTATTTTGTAATTTGTGTTTTCTGAAAAATTTTTGAGTAATCACGAAAATCGTTGTATTTCGTACACTAAAAGGGTTTGATCATCCGTAATTGGAGGCCAAATGCGCAACCTTTTGGGGAATCCTGACAGCGTCACACTATTGAGCTGCTTATTTTATACTCGGAGGAATAACCACTAAAATAAAAAAAAAATCCTAACATTGCAATATACGATATAGGTTAAACATGCAAAAATAATACGTTGAAAAGACTTAAACATGGCTAGATAGTGAAGCCCGCATTTAAATATATAATAGATAGATTCAAACAGGAAAATCGAAAAAAAATCTTAACCATTGCAACATACGATATAGCTTAAACATGCAAAAATAAGACTTAAACATGGCGAGATAGTGAAGCCCGCATTTAAATATTTAATAGAGCTTGTAAATTTATCCAAGATACTGATAAAAGAAACAACCAGATGCTATTTTATTGCTAATATTTTGCCAGCAAAATTACCACGAAATGACAATACGCTAGCTCGCATGTGTAGAAACTAGGAAGTTCAGATGACATGCTGTGGAACCAGATATAAACTATATTTATTATTTGGTTATAAATTGGATATTTTATCTCTATAAAAAATTTAATATAAACCAATCACGATCCATCTAACTAACAACCCACTTATTTGTAAGTTCTGAAATTACTTGTAATTTCAGCACCAGAGAGATTTGAATTTAACTTAGAAATTAGTTACCTCTCCAAGAGAACTTTGGCAATCGCAATAAGCCATTATACTCTAGATCTATTGAGCCTAGCAGAGACTAGTTAAAAACCCTGAGACTAGTAGATATAAGAGTAAGATTAGGATCGGTATTAGACTAAGAAGTTGCACAAATCTATCCGGTCAAAAATATGATAGCGTGACGAGCAGACGGTGTACCCTATCCGAAATTACTCTATGAGTTACACCTCGAACCTAACTCATCTGGTGCGACCATAAGTCTCGATCAAGACCTTAAAAAACAAATTAGTTTAGAAGTAACAGATAGATTAGAATTAGACAAAAATATTATCAAAAATGTTACATGATAATAATCTAATTGAAATGTCTCTACGACTCAATAGATCAGAACCGCTATTCCGCACAATAATAGACTACCAGGCATTGGAAGAAGACCTCGGACAAGAGAGGATCTACGACTACGAAGGAACTTGCCATTAAGTTTCATGGTCGCACGGCAAAGGCCAGACCAAACTTTTATATTTAGGATTTTATTAACAAAGAATTTAGATTTTCATTTATAAACATAGAACCCTTGAAGAAAAATCTTCAATGATTACTAGAGGCGCTAAATCCTATTTTTTTATTGTACAATAACGATTTATAAAAACATCTCAAATCGTTCCCTCTAAATCTGCAGTAAAATTGAAAAAGATATCTGAAAAATTTATTTATTGAAAGAAAAAAGAAAAATTAGTTGAAATGATCATCAACTATTAGTATATACAAATCATCCTGGCATCCCCCGCTTCATCACCTAAACATAATAGCAAACATTTAAAGCACTAAAATAATCAAACACTGAGCTTTTTATCAAATAAATTCAAATTATCTTTAAAACCTTATCTGAATTTTTATCTTTCTTTCATCTCAATTTATTCAATCTTAAACTAGATCATCAAGGCTTCCCTTGGATCTCCATTAAAAATTAAATTAAATCCATTTTGTATCATTAAACATTATATACTGATCATCAAGGCCTATCCTTGGATCAAAAAGAACAATTTTGTTCTCCCCCACCCATAATAAAGTGTCTAACGATCTCAAACATCGATTCACAACCCAACCCTTTTTAAAGACCCAGGACTAATAGAAATTTTTCAACCACACTAACCATTCAAATTAGGCTAAACAGTGAGAACTTCGGTTATTCATCCTTCACTTAATCCCCCCTCTTACCTGACCCAGGCTAAACCTTAAATCTTAGTAAGTATGATTTCTAACGAACTACCTGTGTTCTAAATATACCTGAACCTTGTGGATCGATTTACTATTCTCCAACCCTTGAACACAATCACTACCCCTAAGTAAGATAACACCTTAACTTAGAATAGCCACGAGAAAGTAAAAATCATTCTTCGGAATCGATATGTACTTTTCTCCAACCGTACATAAAAGACCCAAGTTAGGCTAACCAAAAATCGTAAGGATTTTAAAATCACTAATTACAACCTTGCATCCTTCATCCTAAACCTTATGTCACTGAACAAATTAGGAAATAAACAAACAATCGTACTACACAATTGTAAAATAAAAAACGAAACATACGATCTTGTAATTACACCGCATAAACAAACAATCGGATATATTCGCACAAAACTTCAAACAATAAAATGAAAAATTGCAAGTAAGCAAAGACAAATTACACGAAAAAGATTTTCAAAGCGTAGAAACGCAGTCTCTGAATCAGAAGTCAGCGATTTAGATGCACTCTACAAACTAAA